CCTCATCAGTGATTATGTGGCCTAGGTATTCAGTCTGAGTTTGTGCAAAACAACAATTACTCTTCTTAGCATATAATTGGTGTTGCCTTAGTAGGTCCAGCACTTCTGTTACATGTTGGAGATGATCCCCTATTGTAGGGCTATAAATCAGAATGTCATCAAAGAACACTATGACATACTTCCTCAACTGCTCCTTGAAAACCTGGTTCATTAAGCTCTGAAATGTAGCAGGAGAATTAATCAGTCCGAATAGCATAACCTTGAATTTATATAGTCCCTGGTGAGTCCTGAATGCAGTCTTATATATGTCTTCCACTTTGACTCTAATATGCTGATAACCTGCCGTTGGGTCAATCTTAGTAAAGTACTTAGATCCATGTAACTCATCAATTAGTTTATCAATCAGAAGCATTGGAAACTTATCCTTCACTATGAGTTCATTAAGCTGTCTGTAGTCTACATAGAACCTCCAACTTCCATCATTCTTTTTTACCAGCAGCACAGGAGAAGCAAATGAGCTGTTGCTAGGTTGAATAATCCCATCTATAACATCTCTCTTACCAGTCTCTCTATCTCAGATTTTTGTACATAAGGACATTTGTAAGGTCTGATCTGGAAAGGTTTCGCTCCTTCCTTCAAGGGAATTCCATGGTCATGACTCCTAAGAGGGGCAACCCCTGTGGTTCAGCAAATACATCCCTGAACTGATTTTAAATCTCTTCCAAGTCTGTTGGGATCTCTTCCTGTCCTACCTGGTCTTCCTCTACCATGGTTAGGTAGGCAATAACTCCATACATCTGTTTCCTCTTCCACTACGCTAATTTGCTTCCTTTGATAGCTGTAAGCTTCAGGTTCCCCAGATTCTCCTTTTAATTCCACCATTTCCTTTCCTTTGCGAAACTTCATGCTCAGTTTATTAAAATCAAATTCAATAGGGCTGTATCTGGCTAGCCAATCAACCCCCAACACCATATCACAGCTTCCTAACTTCAGAGTGTTGAGGTTATGTTGGAACTCATACCCATGTACCTTCCATTCCAAGGGCTTGCTGAGCTGCCTGAACTCTAGTCTTTCCCCATTAGCTACTTTAACTATCAGTGGAGCTCCTGATACCTGTAACTGTAAGTATGTAACCAGTCTTTCATCCAAGAAATAATGTGTGCTATCACTGTCCACTAATATTAGAACCTCTTTGCCTTCAAGTGATCCTTTAAGCTTGAATGTTCTGTGTCTACTTCCTCCAGCCAGGACGTGGATTGATATCTCTATTTTCTCATTACTGATCTCTCGTTCAATGCAATCACAGAAATCTTCACCTTCATCTCCTACTCCTTCAGTAACCTCAACTAATTCAGTCTGCTCATTCTCCAAGATATATTGAATTTGGCCTTGTTTGCAGACATGGCATAGGGTATATGGTTCTGCACACTTATAACACAACCCCCTCTCTCTTATGTAATTAAATTCTGATGGGGTAATCTTCCTGAATTGATCTGCTATCATACCTTCTATCCTATTCCCTTTGTTATTATTGTTTCCAGGGCTCGTAGGATATCATTAGGCCATTTGTATCTCATCTGTGTTGCAGGATTCTGCCTATTAGTCACCACTGGGTTTGAATTAAGTGGATATTTCTGAGTCATTACTCTTTGTGTCTTCCTTATAGCTTTCAAGTTCTTTTCCTGTAGCATAGCAGCTTCTATGATATCCGCTAAGGTGTGAGGTCTAGCCATTTTCACCATACTTACAATTTCACTCTTCAAGCCACTTAGAACACATGATTTGTAATATGAATCAGGTTGACTAGGAAGTAATGGCACTACCAGTGATTTCAGCAATTCGAATTTCTCCAGTCAGTGAGCTATATTCCCAATCGGTGTCAGTTTGTTGAACTCTTCTATGGTCTCCTCCTATGTCCCTCCTCCAAATTTCTCACACACTGCCATAGACAGTTCATCCTAGGCAACCACATCTCTCCCGTGATACATTCCATGGAACCATATGTTTGCTTTGCCCCCAAAGTGCAGCTGAGCCAAGTCAGACTTCAGCTCTTCCTCCATTCGTTGGATCTGAAAATATTTGTTGGCCCTCCTGACCCACTCTCTGGGATTATCCCCATCAAACATAGGGATTATCCTCATTTCCCTTCTATCTTCTCAGATTTCCTTTTAACCAAGTCCAACTTCTGATTCCCTCCAGAGCTGCTTCCTTCTTCTACTCTCTCTTTGTCATTCAACTTAGCCATCATCTGAGCCATCATGCTCATCATACTCTCATACTTCTAATCCAAGTTTTTAATAGTTTTCTCAGTACTCTCCTGCCTGTGCTCCTTGGTTCTCATAGCCTGTTCCAGTCCATCATTCTTATTAGCAAATGTTCTCATGACACTCCCTAACTCAGTCAGATCCTTCTTCAACATTTCTTCCTAAGTCTTAGTCATCCCGTTGGCTCGTAGCTAGCTCTGATACCACTGTAATGGTACCAAGCCGAGCTAAGGAGAATGAATCGAAATAAGCAAGTTGAATTTGCTGATGTAAACTTAACAGTGATTTCAATGGCAGCAGAATTAACAAGAATTCAATAAAAATCAATACGAACTTGTATATTGATATTAATTGAGAAGTTACAGGAATGGGCGGAAAAAGGCAAGGAGATGAATAAGTAGGGAGGAAACTTGGGGAAGAAGAGGATTTGGAATGATTCCAAATCTGACCAATTGACAAAACAATCACTGCCCTATTACAAAAGCAAATCTCTTTATATAATGTTGTTAAGCCAGTAACTAACTTCTTAAAGCTACAATCACATTAAGACACGTGTCCTCTATTGCATCCAAGTTGTTGCACGACCATAGCTGCTGCCTTCAAGTTGATGATCTGAATTTTCCAGAAAAGACGTGCTTACAGAATCACGTTTTCGTCTCTTGTTCTTCCTTTCTGATCACGCCTTTTGCTTCTTGTTTCACGCCTTCCGTTCCTTTGCTTCTCAATTCAATTTCGCTTCCTGACACCCCTCTCCTCCCCTTCCCTTTCCCCCTTTCCCATCCTGGCCACCTTCTCCTCCCTTTTGCCCGGTTTGGTCGATTGACCAGATCGCGCTGCAATCAGGGGCAGGGAGAGGGTGGCGGGGGAGGACAGGGGGAGAGGGAGAGGGAGAGAGACAAAGAAATTTTTTTTTGTATCTACTGCTTCCGGTTGGGAGGGGTGGCTGGGGAAGGGGAAGGGAGAAGAAGAAGAGAGGAAAGAAAAGAAAAATGAAAGAAAGGAAAAAAAAAGATAAAGAGAAAGAAAGATAAAGAGAAAAAGAAAAAGAAAAAAAAGTTTTTCATCTTAAATTTTTTTCCTTTATAAATTTTACAGTAAAATTTTAGACAAATACCTAATAAAACTCATTTGTCAAACGGAACCATAGAATCTTGGCATCTTTGCGGAGTCTGGGAGTATAGGATAGAGAAGAATAGAAGAGAAAAATTAAATAATGAGAGAAAAGAAAAGAAAAAGAAAAGGAGAAAATAGAGTTTAGGATAGAGAAGAAGATAAGAGAAAAATTAAAACATGAGAGAAAAGAAAAGAAGAAAAGAGAAAAGTTTGCACCACCATGTGCAGGCATGACAAAGAAACTCACAACCCAACAATTCACCCAACCCCGTCCATTAATTTTAAAAGATGGGTTGGGTCAGTTGGATTATGGATTTTGTTGAGTTAGATAAGAACAACCTAACTTATTCATTGCACGGATTGAATTTTTTATTTGTATACTCAATACTCAACCTATTTAAAAATAGTTCAAAATAATAAATATAAGATTTAATACACATATACTCAACCACTTACATTTGGACATGTGTTAATAATTTATTGATCAATTTGTTTTCAAAATTCTCTCATATATATATATATATATATATATATATATATATATATATATATATATATATATATATATATATATATATGTGTGTGTGTGTTTTCAATCAAATTTTTTAATTTTTATTAAAAAAAACTTGAAATAAAAATTTATACTTATTTTACTATTACAACAGTAGTTATACTTACTCAACTTCTATAATAATTTATTATGCCTTTTTAAGAGTATGTTGTTTTCTTCCCCATTTTTTTCTTTTTTTGTTGTTGCTATTTGATAGCTACTTGTTTCTGTTTGTTAATATTTTCGTATATCTAGAATAGAGTTTAAATTTGATCTAATTGCATTTTTTTTTATTTTTCTCTAACTTGTTTTATTTTATTGTTAATAATTCCTCATCAATATTATAATACAACAAATTATATGCCTCTTAATTACATTTTCAAGTATAATATAATCTAGCATTCAATAATTTAAAAATATTGAATATTAGAACTTACAATAAAGCAGATATGAATAGTAAAAGTGTTAGATAAGTTGTTATAAAAATAAGTTTCAATCAATTAGTAGTATTAAAAAGTATAAAGTAAACAAAATTTTTTAGCTAATCTATTTAAATGTACAATTTATTATTTAAAATTCACAATACAAGCAATATAGATTATTATTCTATTTATGATGTATTTTTAACGAGTTGAAGCCAGTGTGTATTTGTGTGTGTGAAAGTGTGTTAGTTTGTAAAAATATATTTATGCATGTGAAAATGTGTTTATATATGTGTGAATGTATGTAAAAGAGTTTATGTATTAATTAATATGTTTAGTTATATTTGAATCATGGGTGGGTTTGACATGATCCAATATAAAATTGAACGAGTTGAATACAATTCATTTAAGTGAAAACTCAATATTAACTCATCCAAAACCTATCCAATTGCCAGGCAGCACATTAGTTTGGTAGACTTCGTGCAGCGGCTGAGATACAATAATTTGTCATTTCAAAAAACATATTCATATTTATTATTAACCTCCACTGGATTTAGGTTATTAGTTGGGCTCAGACAAGCCATAGTTTATTTCGTCCTTTCAATTATTCAAAAGGAAGAATAAAAGCAGAGAAGCAAACATCAAAAAACAGCCATACAAATCGTCCCATTTTTCCTAATCTATCAAATTATATAATAATAATGTGATTGTCACAATGAAAGTCACAAAATGTGCTCTACACCTTAATGTTGCATTCTACATCTCTGATTTCTCATCATATTACACGGTCGAGTATTGCCTGTCACAGCTTTATGCATGTATGGTACAGCATAAGCGGAAGGTTAATTTGTTAAGAGCAATGTAAAGTTATCTGACCAAAATTTTGCTTGGTTACCAAAAACAAAGCCCAAAGCAAAAAATGGTTAATAGCTGGAAGGAGGCGATTATGACGCCTGGCTCTTGCTCTTTGCAGCTGCGGCAGCTGCAGCATACCAAGAAGCTGCAGCCATTGCACCTGGATCCGGGACTGACGCAAGATTATCTGCAGAGACATAAGTCGACCGACCAGCCTAAAAGAGAAAACAATTGGAGGGTCATACACTGAAACGACTAAAGGATGCGGTTAGAAGGCAACTACAAGTAAAAGGTGCATGATACAGCAAGAAACAAATGAAACATTGTGGTGCAGCAAACCTAGATGAGATTGACAAAAATGAATGTGAAAAGGGAAGAAAGAACTTGGAAATATTTCTTCATCTTTGTTAGTTGAACAACAAATGTTGTTTACCTAGATAGATAAGTTCTTGAATACGCCATGAGAAATTCAAGCAACTAACAACCTCGATCAAACTGTAGTCTTTCGTTCCCAGTAGAAAGTACATTTTGAAGTGCAAGTACCCATAGGATTTGCAAATTTAGGAAATTAATATTTTATCTTTGCAATTTCCGTTTTGGTTCACTTTGTAATAGTCAAAAATTCCGACCAAAGAAATGTAAATGCCAAAAGACTCCAGCATGCTTGTTCCTTTAGCAGAGAAATTATACCAAACAATCTGTGCAAAGTTGGCAACCTAAACATTTTGATTTACTCAGATCCAATTCTATATAAACTAAGATACAAGATAAAAGACCAACTCAACTTCTTTATATCTCGTAGTTTTCTAATTGCTGTAGCTATCGTGTAACAGACTAAATGTCAGTAGAAAATAAACTACACGTGCATCAAACCATAGAACACAACTCATCCCAAAAACTCATCTTATAGGAGTAGAAAGAATATCACCTGAGCTTGCATGTCCTTAGTTGAGACAGCTCCTGCAGTTGCTGCTTCAGCAGAAAGAACAAATGCATCCACCGGATTGTCCCCGGCAGCTAACCTCTGTAAATGAGACAAGTGTTTATAGGCCAAAACTAAAAGAAAAGTATAGCAACAGCAAATAACAACCTCTTTAAGTACTGATGATGCTGGAATAAGTGCATCCAACATTGTGCGATAACCAGCATTTGCTCCTCCATACTTACTAACTGCAGCAATAGCAGCTTCAAGAGCTCCAGCCCCTGAACCACAAAAATCATTAAGCAAAATTTCTAAAGCAAACAAATGAGAGTTCAGAGGTTACTGCATCAGAGACATCTCACAATGCATTGGCGTTATAACCGACTTGCCCTTTGCTTTCAACTGTGCGTAAGCTGCCTTACAGAATATATCATATCTGCCAAACAGATTGGCAGACAACATTAGCTCTGTAATTTGAGTCCACTTAAACCATTACTTGTGAACAAAATTTACAAGATATTGATTAACAAGAGGTTCTCGAAGAGAGGAAGTATAACATACAAGATTCCACTTGTTCCTCCCATCACTCTTCTGATAGAAGATCCAATTTCATTAACTGTTTCAGCAGGGTCATTCAGCGGATAACTGAAACAAATAGCAAATAAATAAGTAAACAAAAACAACTGAGGAATTTGACAAGGAATTATTCCAGTCATACAAGAAAGAAGAAGAAGAGGGAACACCACTAAGAACAATTTAAGGTGGTTTTCTGTTGTTACAAAGGGAGGGTGACAGGTCAGTCGTGTATAACTTCCATAAAACTATGTGTTTACTGTATGGTTTTCTTTTTCCTCTTCCATTTACTTTAAGTATGATTATCTTGTCACTGTGGAAGGGTAATTCAGAATGAATTGTACAATCTCCTAGTTGCAGATTTCAAAACTAGAATGTAGTTTGCAGTGCTGAAAGCCTATGTTTAAGGAGAAGAACAGGGACACTGAAGAGCAGATTAGCGTAGAAAACAGAGATTATTGATTCATCATCCAGAAAAAATAATGCAACATAAAGGAACAGCAAAACAGAAAGGGTCACTTGAGACACAAAGGATGAAAACAATTACCAGTTAAGCTTTAATTTAGCAAAACCAGAAATTAATCATATTAAAAACCCAGCGAGGAACAGTTAAAAAACCACACGTGTCTAAGTTAGTCTATTTTGCAGCTGTTGATGAATCAGATGCATTAGTCTTATGGAAGCACCAAATACATTTTACTCAATAAGATCAAGACCTACAGATAATTTCTAATTTCAGAAAATATTTTTGAGGTTTAATGCCCAAATATGAGACCATATAGCGGGAAGATAAACAATTAAGAAAGAAGAGCAAGTGCAAGCACAAAAGCCATCAAAACTGACATCTTCTATTCCCATTTATTGTACCACCTAAATCACCAGTGGCCAATGAAAGCATGAGATTTCTGACATTCCCTGCATCTTAATTACAATATTTACCAATCTACTTATGAACCTAGAGTCCCAACCATCTCCAGGGCAAACATTTTCTGGGAGCATGTACTCACATTTATAACAAGTATAAAACACAGAGAGGGAGAACAGCTATAGAAGACTCACTACTTCTTCATGTCTTCCATTATCGCGGTTGCACCTCTGAACATCTGAGGATATTCCAACAAGACCTCTTAGGCCATTAAGTCATTCAGATAAGAAAAGAAAAGATAGTTGAAAGGCACTTACTGTAGAACCACAGTCTCCATCACCCACTTTGCTGTCCCATTCGTTTAAGCTGTCACTTAGATTGATAACTGCTGTTGCCCCTGCTTCAATAGCCACCTCAAGAAGATAACCCTGGGAGCTTAGCTGTTCAGGCCGACTCAATGTCTGATGCAAGGACAAAGCAGATAAAAAGCATTAGGATAATACCAAACCATTGTAAGGTTGCTTGTTCTAAACTTCTTAGAACTTCTGGTGTATCAGGAAAGAAACAACACAGAATGGAGGTTTTCCTGGTGAACAATATTGAAAGGTAGTAAAATTCTGTACATGCCAAAAATTTCAACAAGCAGTGCCAGACATTAATTTACCAGAAGTAGAAATCTCTTAGAAATCTGATCAGGAAACCTTCATATTTGATAAACAAATGGTATTGTTTTTTTGCTGCTAATGTAGTTCATGCACCTTATGCTTAGCGGGAGCAGGGCACCATAGCTAGAAAGGGAGGTCGGCTATTGCCAACTTGGCTAAGACTTAAAAAGGTTCTGTTTTGACAGAAGTTTCATCAAAGGATAGTAAAATTCTTCCGTCTAACAAACTTTTGCAATTAAAGTGGTCAATCTATCAAAAACTATATAAAATCAGAACTCACAACAAAGACATGCAATAAAATCAAGCGAATTCAATACCAAACAAAGCAAATGCTCTAGAAGAACATTTACTGACGTTACACTCTTTCGTGCTAGGTTGTTGAAGTAACCATCATACGTTTTCTACATTCAGAAATAGCAACCCATATATAAGAACGAAATTACCACTATGCAGACAACAAGCACAATAGCAGAAACTGGGGAACAAAATATTGGACAGACCTCATCACTCTTTGTTGAAAGTGATGGTGGAAGGGGAACAGGAATCTTGGCAGGTGGACGATTACCTGTAAACCACATGAATTTTTCCAGTGAAATTGTTAACAGATCGATCCAAAGTAGTACCTAGCTCGTAAATGTAGATATATGAATAGTTAATTTAATCATTTATATAACAGACTCACATCACTGATTCAGTTTAAAGATTTCTTAGAAGTATAGTGTCAAGAAATAAGTTCATATACTAACCATCAGCACCAACGGGCCAACATGGAGCCTTAGTTGGTGCATCCAAGCGATTCAAAATTTCTTCATTTGCTTTCATCACAGTTATTGAAAATCCTGACAAAAGTTTACAGGTGAGAAAAGATGCCATATCCAGTAAATCAGAAAATCTATCAACATAAACAAACCAGCCATGTCAAGAGAAGTCATAAATGAGCCTGTGTACACCCTCTCAACAGCCAGTCCATGTTCAAGCTGCAACCTAGGTACCGCTTTCCCAGTTGCAATCATCAATTCCATAACAGGAGTACCTCCCAAACTGCAATTTAAAGATAGAAAGTGATCAAGAAACAACTACATATACAAGTTCAAGGGGGAAGGTGCAATACACACAATGTTGGTCAAAACAGATTGACTAATTACCAATTGTCTGAAACTATGCAAATCAACTGCATTTTGGAAAAGGACAAAAGAAAATTTCATGGTAACGACATATTTTCATAATAGTCTGGACAATAGTCACTTCTCCCTCTTGGACTTGCAGTTTAGAGAACAAAACCTACAATTGATAATTCACGTTGATCAAGACAAAAGCATTGAAGATTTGGCATCAGATGCTTGAATCACTCCATCCAGAAACCATAATTAAGAAAAGAATTGAAATCGAAAGGGTAGATTAGGAAAGAGAAGCTTCAAATAAAGAATCTAGGACTTGCTTTGGAACTATCACATAAAAGTAGTGCCTATACATCCTAAAACAATTTCATGACTTCATTGGCTAGGACATTCTAAAGCATGACATATTGGTGCTTGACAATTCTTCAAGTAATTTTTGCCATTAGAACGACATAACAACAATGAAGAGAATCATGTAGAGAAATTTGCAAAGATGCTGATCCATGTAGGAAGGGGATTATGTTTCTAAACTTCAAACACTTTAGTCTTCCAACAAGGCTTTCTATTTCATCTCTTCATCTGATCAAACGAACTTCCTAAAGAGTTGCACCTTTTATAAATTTTAGACAACAGACATTTTCATGCTTTTAGAACTCTTTTATCACTTAAAATAAGATAATGCACTTTAAGTTACAAATCTATCAAATGATAAGAAAGCCACAATGAAGATGAACAAAAAAGCAAACAAATGATGTATGTGATTGACAAGTTAATTATCATAACCTTTTTTCAACTTGTTCTCATGCTAGTTGAGCATAGATAAGCAGGATATCCCTAATTTCCCAGGAAAAAAAAGGGAACACAGAAATATGTGTAAAATTTTTCAAAGGGTGTCAAGAATGAAAGGATCTTACCCATTAATCATCAGCACTACTCTACTTCCCCGTGTAATAGGAACATAGTTGGTCTCCTACAGTAATATTGGTATGACAATCAGAAATAGTTTCAAATAAAAGGAATAGCAAATAGAACAGCTACTGTCACTACAGAATACATACTTAAATTGGCATAACAAGGAAAGGCAATTTCATTTACACCAGGAAAACTCTTTATAATACAACAACTTGTTGAATAACAAACAAGATAATTATCTGGTTAGAATTTTCCTATTACCTAAAAGCATTAGCTGAATTGATAGGACAAAGATCAAAATTTAAGGGAAAAAGTACAAAAGAAGTACAAAAAAAAATTGTACAACTTATCAAGGAAGATGTCTTTACCATTCATAATTCACAACATAGAATACCTTTGTTTATTTAAAGAACCTTTATGAAGTGCATTTCTTCAATTATTCTTAAGTTTGGTATTAGTGCTACATCCCCGAATAGAAAGAAAAAAAATTTTGTTGAGTAAATGAATCAGTAATGAGAATATTAGAATTATTCTCCCATCCCCAACACTCTCTTTGAACTTTGTTCTTCCTCCAGTCCACTTCTTAGTGACATAACAATGTTTATACCTCTTTTTTACCAAAATCTGCTCCGTATAAAGCAGTTAAATGAAGCAAAAATCTTTAAAGTAAGTCCTTTATGTCGCAAACATACTCTTCAAAAATAACTTGTGCACCTTCTAGATTAGGCATAAAGCATGCAAAACCTGCTTTAAATTGGCATTTAAAGAAAATGCAAAATGCAAAATTACTAATTAGAAATCCAGTTGCACAACACCTAGAAGAATTCATGTCTTTTACTCTCAGCTCTATGATCAACAGCAGTAGTAAGTTCCACAAATCTCCATGACAGATTCACATAACAGGAAACCTATAACAATCATTCACATTATTGTAGGCTTGTAGCCAAAATCGGTATAACAACAATTTAAAGAAACAGAATATGTACCACATTACATAAACTTAATAGACCCCTAATTGCGGAACCTTTTCTGTTACCATGGCATGGCACGAAAGCTACAGCACTTAAAAATCAATATCATAGATGTCACATACCAGTGACAATATCTGCTTCAGAACATGAGAGACTATCACATCCACAGGCTGAAGATCAGCTACAGCAGCGCCTGGTTCTCCATGCTGAAAAGTATTTATAAGTAAACTTTAACAACATTAAACAAAGGGGAATAGAGGTACACTTGGTTGCTTTAAATTCCCCATAATGCAATTGCAATACTTTATTTTGAATTTGTCTATTAATCATTTAGCAGAATGAAAGTATTCTTTAATAACAAATGAAAACTACAACAGCCAAACATTTTCTAGAAAATGTGTTGCAGAATGGACAAATTAAAACAAGCAAATAGAACAATTCATTTCAAGTCAAAATAAATTGATGGCGTAACCGTCCTATACATGAGTGGCTCTCTCTAGAGCTATGATGAGCGTAAAATATTAGCTTGTGCATATAAAGGCCAAACAAAATAAGCTCAAAGCATTCTGGTTAACTTTACAGCTCAAAGCATCAGTTACCTGAAGAAAATAACATGCACACACACATGTGCATATATTTATATATCCGCAATTCAAGTTAGTAAATTCAGGAAGTCTAAACCGTTCATTTAAAAAATAACCATTTCCATCAGAACGCTTGTTTTATTTTCCTGAAAGGAAACAATTTACATTTCTCAATTAGCTTTACAAGGTAAATAGCCAATCAAATCTTAAAAAGCAAATCAAACATGCATTCTTTACAAAGCCAAATCCGAAGGCTCGACATCTGACACCTCCCTCTGACCATCTAAACCTAAACAGGATTATTTGGCGGGTCCCTAAAATCCTGAGATGTAAAACATATCCATGATGATTCCAAATTCCAAACGAGTGTTTTAAAGATTTTCATGGAAAATCTTTAAAGAGAACAGATATGAAACCCCAAATATCACCTTGAATTGAAAACTAGATATCTTGATCAGTAAATTGCAATATTCTATATCATAAGATGGAGAGAACATACGACACCCAAAAGACATACAAACAACAACCTATTCATTTAAAAGATCATACATCAATCAACATAAAGCAAAGCATTGATAGTAGAATAAACTTACGATTCCAAGACCAAGCTCCATTTTTCCATGGCCTAAACGATCCGATGTTACTTGACCTGGCAACGTGCAAACAGACAACGCGACACCCATTGTGCCAATCAATTCTGATGCACGTTTTGCTTCAGCAGCAACAGCAGAAAGAGACAGGCCACAAGCTGCTGCAGCTCCAGCAACCTTCATTAAGAAATGAAGTGGACGCAAGATTTACAGATCAAAAAGGAAAAATGAAAAAAAAAGGTACTTAGGAAACCAACTATACTACTACACTCAACCTTGTGAACAAAAATGGTCCCAGCCAAACCCCTTCGTCCGGCTATTCCTCTAGGAGGAGGTAAAGCACAATCATCGCCAACAATTACCATCTGCAAACACACAAAGGATTTGAACTTAAGGATACTGTAACAACTTAAGTACCTACTTTTCAGTTTTCCATAGAAAAAAAACACCTTTGAGTTGAAATTTACATAATTATGTACCTCTACTTTGTAGCCTTCAGATTTTGCTTGCTCAGCTGCCAGGCCAAAGTTCAATCTATCACCAGTATAATTCTGTCAAGACAAATATTTTTTCAATCAGGAAATTACAGGAGATTCACAGCTAGAAAAGTTCAGTAAAATTCAAATTATCCAAAGTATTCAGGACGCATGAAGCTTATTCTAGTCTTTGTCCAAAAACACTATCAATTGTCAACATAACCACCTTAAAAATCTAGTTAGCCTAAAGTCAACCATGGCAGAAACCTTCCAAAATTTAGAATAACAATACCTTAACAATCAGGAGGCATCCCATTGGACCAGTCACTGCTCGAATGCCCTATATATGAGTAAAATCAGGTAATTAAATAATAAAAAAAAGAAGTATATCAAATATTACGTAATAAAAGAGATATTCTCTATTCCATCTCAGCAAGAGCATATCATACAGCTAAAATGGAGTCAACAGGTGGGGAGGCAAAAACATCCCCACAAATTGCTGCGGTCAGCATCCCTTCTCCCACAAATCCTGCATGAGCAGGCTCATGTCCACTTCCACCTCCTGTATATCACAAAATTCTCAAGATTCAGAAGCCCAGTTTAAGTTGTACTAGATTACAGCTGATTTCTTAATTTTTGTTGCAAAAGAGCTTTATTTGTTGAGCATATCTTCCAATCAACTAAGATTTCCTAGGTGACTAACTATTATAAAAGGAGTAATTGAAGTAAAAAGACCAACAAAGTATTGATTCTGTAAATACTGGAAAAGAGAGTATAAGCCATTTCACTCTTCCTCGTCAATCAAAATCAGATCAAGAGAGACAACTAATTATGCCTATATATTGCCAATTCACAATTAGAGTGCTATGCATTGTCCATATGCTAGTAATAAAAAGTTAAGGATCAGCAAGATTTTGCCGAAAACTAACACATAGTCAAGTTGCTACCAACCTGATATCACTGCAACTTTGTCATGTGTTGAACCTGAGATGTCGGCTCTCAACACAACTTTAACCTGACAATCAAAAGTTTAGTCTAGTAAAATTCTTTGGGACGCGTGGCTAAGGAAGAATATTCGTTTCCAAACAGATACACTAAAAGCAGAGGAAAACTAAGTAGTTCAATGAGAATGAAAAGCATTACCTCAGGGAAACCATCCAAATACTGCAAACCCGGATATGTTTCCACCAAACCTTCAATAAACTCAGTAACAACATCTGTAATATCAAAACAAAAAAAGAAAGTGTCATTATTTAATATCATTTCCAGGATATACCCACGAGAAAAAGATTGCCTTTTTCCTTTTCAAATAGACCTTTGTTTTCAAATGTTCAGTTGACTGTTCAATCAAGCCAAGCCATCACGCTAATATGGATTCAAGTAGTCATTTCCCACATTAAAGAAAGAAATAACAATAGCACCAAGTGTACAACGCTAAAAAGCGCAAGGTACGACGTTTTAATGGAGTACCCTTCTGCAACAGCAGTTGTACCTTGCTTGCGCGCCTAAATTACCAGCAATCAGAATGCAATGCAAAAGATAAAACAGCAAAGCAGAGATCTGAGTACTTCGTTTGAACCAATAAGAAAACGATCATAGTAAAACAAAATGAAATAATAATCCAGCAATTTATGCAATTTCGTGTACTTTTCAACCTTATTTCTGGTACTTTTACAACTTAACAAAAACCAAACAGACCATAGAACCAAAAAAATGCATTGAATGATTAATGTAGATATCCACAAAATTCAATTAATAAACCTTAATTCAAGATAATACTTCAAAAAAAAAAGTCAAAAACCGTCAGATTAAATATCAGAAAAAAAAAAAGAGAAATCAAATAAAAAATTAGGTGAGGGATAAAATGCACGTTACCGTTTGGGTCATTGATGAGTTTCTTGCCCTGGAAAGCCATCTGAAGATATGATTTGAATTTTTTTCTTCGAGGAAATGTGAGTTAATTTAGCAGTTAATTTGCAGCACTAACGCATTAACTCCCCCCGCAAGACTAATCAATTCCAGAAGAAAGAAAAAGCAAAATAAGAACCCTAATTCTTTTTCTGCAGAAATTTGGGATTTTTGTATTTTCTCTCTCTAGAATACAGAGGAGGAAGTCCACCTGAGGCTGAGGAGCGAGGAGGAGAGTTGAGTAGAGTTCAATTATTATATTGCGCACTCAACGAGGATGAAGTTAGCTCCGAGTAGTTTTTACTCTTTTTTTCTATTTGGGTAGGACCCGAACCGGATAAATTGACGGCTGAGAAGATTAAAAATTTAATATTATATGGATTACATAAAAATATTTCAGTCCCATATATAGGGATGGCAACGGGGCGGGGTTGGGGCGGGGTCCCCTCCCCCGTCCCCCGCCCCGTTGCCTATTAGTTCCCCCCGTCCCCCGCCCCGTCCCCCGCCTCCTGCTCCCCCGCCCCGCCCCGCCCCCGCCCCGTTTCCCCCGCGGGTGCCCCCGCGGGGTTAATACAATTTTATTATATAATTAAATTTTAATAAATAATCAAGTACTAAAATATCAACGCATCACCAAATTATTATTCATTGTAATTTTACAATTGAAACTCATAAAAACAATCAAACAGAAGTTATTTGAATACAATCCAATATGATGAAATAAATATAACTAAAATAGTCAAGTTTTCACTTTTAGTACAAATGCAATCACTAATTCATTATTGTGTTTGTGTTTTTTTTTGAGAAAAAAGTGTTATTCTATTAAGTGTAATTAGAAATTTAGTATAAATATATTAGTAAATTTAGTATAACTAATTAATAAATTCTATTAGTAAACATGTAGAATTATTCATATAATTGATAATATCAATTATATTACATAAACTAACATACATTATATAATATATCTAACTAATAATATCATTATCATAAGTTTATAACTAATTAACTTACATGTTATATATAATTATATATTTTTTTATATTTTTTTTTGTTTTGCGGGGGGCGGGGCGGGGGATGGGGCGGGGGTATACCCCCCCGCCCCCCGCCCCGTTTCTAAGCGGGGGGAAAAAATTCCCCCCCGCCCCCGCCCCACCCCCCGCCCCAACCCCCGCCCCGAGAGCCCCCCGCGGGGCGGGTGCCCGCGGGCACCCGCCCCCATTGCCATCTCTACCCATATACTATTAAAATGTAGGGATAATTGCAGAAACCTCCCCAAGGTTTCTGACACTAGCACTCATCTCCCCTGTGGTTTAAGAAATAGCACTGACCTCCCTTGAACTTACTGATTCTTTGCATATTCAGTCCAGGCTAGAAAAAGTGCCATTAAAATATTATTTTAAATAGTGAGATGAGAAATTTGTGCCAAATTTGCCCTTTGTGCTACATGGCAAGTAGTATGAGTAAAGGAATGATAAAATACTGCAAATCAATTAACAATTAATAAATTTTAAGGGGTATAACTTATGGGCAAATGGGTATTACCTATTCAAAATACCAACTTTTTATGGCCATTTTACTCTCAAACATTTAATTTATGATTAACACATCAATGTTTGTAAGTAAATTCAAAAAGTGTTACAATAATATTCTTACAAAAATGAAATCAGTATGTTTTCTATTTAATATAAATTAAATATTTTTAAGAAAAGAAATGGCTCATAAATTATTAATTCTTTATGGCTTTTCTCCATTACATATACAAATTATCGGCTTTTTATAGGTATTTTATTTTGAATCATTTAATTTATGTTAAATACATAAATATTTGTAACTAAAATTGAAAAAGTGTTGAACCAATATTTTTACGAAAGGGAAACTCTTCCATGAGAAAAAGCAGGTTCCACTCTTCCAGATCTGGCTAATGAGAAAGTGCATGGGATTGGGACGTACTAGCAAGGGATTTATAGAGGGCTAAGCTAATGATAGTCATTTGTTGCCCCATTCTTCTTTTTGGCCAATTGACAGTAGCCACGAGAATGATAGACAGGCATTTAAGAGCCCTAAACATGTTCACAATTTGCAACAAGTTTTGCCATACACGATAGTATAGCTTGAGTGTACACTTGTTAATTCTTAGTGGTATATACATAACTTGTAACAGTTTTGGCTAAGTTGTGAGAAGTTGTGGCTAATGTCACATATAACAAAATATACATACATGTTTGTATGCATGTACAATTATGGACAGGTTCATAGCAATCCCCCGCCACCTCTCTCTCCCTGTCGGAACTAAGCAGCAGTAGAAACTTTGTTTTTTTTTTTTTTTTGCTTTTTCCTCTCTCCCCATCTTCTCCCTCTCCATGATGCAAACATAAGATTCAATGATTCATATTCAAATCATACAAATAGTTGATCCATTGGAGTTCGTCAAATCATTATCCCATCATCCATTGGAGTCATCAAAACCGGATCCCTCTCTAAGTTTTGTTGTTTATTTAGTTTATAAGTGTTAAATTGTCATTTGTCTAAGTTAAACTCCAGTCGCGTGTTAGTTAGTAATTAGTATTAATTTGGAGTTAGCTTGAGTCATTAACTAAAACGCTAAGGTCATGTTGACCATATTTAAATCTTAAGTCAAGTTAGTTTCCTAATTCTAGCCAAGTTAGGATTTAGAAACTAGTTAATTGTTTCCAAATTTAGTTAGGTTTTGAGCCTTTGTAAAAGCTATAAATAAGTCTTAAATCCAAACGATTTTCATAAGACATGATGAATCAAAGAAAATTTCGACAAAACACAAGTCTCTTGTCCAAGAAATCAAAACCGGAATACTTGAGAGGATTCTTAACTTTTCAATTGACTTATCAATTCAAAATCACGTTGAATTGTGGCGTCATTTTATCATTCTAATCAATCTCAAGCGGTCATTGATTGGATTAAAATCCATCCAATTATGTCCATAACTTGATCGAATAAGATCTTTCCACTGCTTAATCAACTTAGTTCTTTAAAACAGGTTCTTATTGGGTCCAGTTCGTATCAGTTGGTACTTTTGAGTCATCAAAGTCAGTCCAATTCGTGTTCAAATCTCAACTCAAAGTGAACCAGATTCATATATGTCACTTCCTTGTGTGTTGTTGGCAACAAGTCATTGAACTATTTGAGAAATTTCTGATTTTTTTCAAGTAAGGATATCGATGACTTAGAGAATTGCTTGGTGAGCTTTTTAGAGCATCTCAAACACTTGAATGATACATGAATATGAGTGCATACGCATGAGGGTGTGTTGTGAGGCAATTTTACGTTGTTTTATTTTTACTAACCATTTTTCAGGTTAAAGATGAATACCAAAGAAAATTCACACTAATTTAATCGTACTATGGAAGATATGATGGGTGAAGTTAAACAAACTTTGCATGAAACTTTCAAGTCTTTTCATAGACGCCTTGACCTAATAATGAATAAGGATGTCAAGAGGAGGGGTTCTACACAATTTAATTTCAAAATCCAATCCTATCTCTTTAAAGTTAGCATATTCAAGATGAAGGGAGGAGGTTCATTCGATAACTAAGCATGCAAATATATTATTCATAGATGAAGGATTTAGTCGAGTGTGGGAGACATATCAACACCTCCTACAACAAAAGTTTGAGAAAGAGAAAACTGAGTGTAGTTATAAGAGTGTAGAGGTAAAACTTGAAAGTGTTCTTGAGGTGAAAGTCAAGGAGAGTGAACAAAAGAAAGTAAGTGAACTTTCAAAAGTATTGAGTGAGGAAAAATTCTTGAGTGGTTCGGCCATAGTGGAAAAACAAAAGGGAAAGCCGACGTCTATTACAAAATCTAAGGATGTGAGGAGAGATTCTTACCGTACTAACTATCTCAACTTTGCAATGTCTAGTATTTATTGTTTTATGCAGGTTAACCAAAGTGCAATTATATTAATCTTAAATTGTTCAATTCCTATGATAGGGTGTTAATTATTAGTAATTTTATTGTTAATTTTCCCTTTTATCCTTGTCAAATATTGCTCTAATTATTAATATTTACTTATATTTGGTATTGGACCTAATTTCAGGGAGTGGAGCAGAAAAGTACAAAAAGGAGGGACTCTCTGAAATAAAATGGAAGACTTCTAAACACTTCACAAGCCTAGCCCACGTTGCTGAGAAGAAACGGATTCCCAGTTCCCTTTTGGCTGACTAGGAGTCCTGCCACCAAGAGAAAAAGGAAATACAAGGAATCTGGCAAAGTTTCCTCGTTGTACCTGGACTCCCAATCCATGGGGACCACGGGAAAGCATTGAGTCAATTTTAGCTTTGGAAGGAAAGAAACGTAGGGAGCTTTGGCTATTGCTTGTTCCTTATCCGGCGGGACCACGGAGAGAAGTGAGGCAATTTGTTTTAGATTAGGAAACAATTCTTTTCCTTTGGTTAGGCAATTATCCACGGGCCGCTGCTTTATCTTTGGGGGAATTGGGGAGTTTTTCCGGGGGTTTTTTTACTCTATCGTTTTTCCTGATCTCAACTTCGGTGACAATGGCCGCAATTACCCATGCAATTTTGCATGGGATTTCCTCCATGAAGATGAACTAATTCATTTTTTCTAGTCAAGAACAACGGAGGATTTGGTTCGACTTAAATTGTGAGATCTAATCGATTTTAGCTTTCCTATTATTTTCTGGTATTCGTCTATCTTCTGCTTTATGTTCATATGGTTGTTTTATTATTCGATTATCCAGGGCCCGGATTCTAGATTAATTCAATAACCTGAAGCCAATTAGGGTAGTTAAATCCGTAATTGTTTAATTATTCTAAACTGGTGGCAACTGACATGATTGGGTTTGTGTCAGGGAGATAGACATGCTAACTTAAAGAGACCCTCGTAGCGTGTTGATTGGTTAGAATTAGGCTCTTCTAATTATTCATGCAATTAGGGAATTGAACTTCTATGGTCGTACCTAGGGTTGTTTCCTGATTAGAGAAATAGTCAACGGTCGTACCTTGGCTATCGACAAATTGAGGAAGAGTTGGTTGTTTATCGCATATATGACAACTATAACTAATTTATCAGATAGTAACTGGAATAATCCTTGCATCTGTGATCGAATTAAGTGAACCATCTCCGAAGTTGTCTCTTGGCTAGAGTTCGTACATTATTATTTTTATTGTGATAATTAGTTAATTAAGTTGTAATTATTTTATTTTATTTTAATTTATTCCAAGTAATTTAGTTACTCTCATTTTCAAAAAAATCCCCCATACTTCGGACTCTAAAAGAAATAAATTATCCCCAATCCCTGTGGATTCGACTCTACTTATCACTATCTACAGAAATTATATTTTATTTAAGCAGGTATTTATTATTGCACAGGTTCGACACCCTGTCAATTTTTGGCGCCGTTGCCGGGGACTGGTGCCAGATTAATTTGTTTCTTTTTGAATTCATCTTGTTTTTATTTTTTTTATTTAGTTTTCTCTTATTTTTTTTATATAGTTTATGGTTTCTAACACTCCGTATTTTGGTGATAGATTGGATTTTGTTTCCAGAGAAGGCAATGAGGCTTGTTTTTTTGCTAAGTTTGCATATTCAGAGGCACTAAACTCTATTAGAGAAAGAATGGCTGCTGCAACCTGTAAAATTTGTTATGCCAGGGATCATTCAACCGGTATGTGCCCCGAATATCAAGATAATTTGAGTGCCCCACTCAATAATTATGGAGATTTTTCACCCTGGTCTCAAACGTGGTATAACCCTAATCCAAACGGGTATGATCAAGGATGGTGGGATAACTCCAATTATAATTATACGACAGGGCCAATGAATTTTCAGCAGTATGAGTCTCAAGAATCATCATCTATGTCAGGTATGTCTCTTGAAGAAATAGTTGAATCAATAGCTACTAATACATATCAATTCCAACAGGAGACACAAATGAGAAATGGGATGATGAAGGATGCAATGAGTAATCTGGAAGATCAAATATGTCTATTGACATCCGGAATAAATCGATTGGCTTCTCAAATTGAAGAATTGCCCTCGAAAACCATTGTTGATTTTGAAGAAAATGAGAGTGCAATTTCCTTGACTAGTGATGAGGAGATGCAAGAGTGTCAAAATCAGAGATCTACAGATGCAGTTGAAAAAAAAGCCGAAGAGGAAGAAATGGAACCCCAACCGCAACCCATTCAAGTGAAAGAATCCAGTGAAGAATCATCAAATGTGGTGACACCACCTCCATTCCCTAACCCGCATTTTCTTAACTCTTACTCTATGATTTCTGTTAATGAGATTGATTTTGTTATACCGGAAGTTTTTGAGTCTCATGGCAGAAATAAGTTAAGAGTAGCTATTGTCAAATATCTTGAACCGTTGAGTGTTCTTGATGGAGGAGTGGATGAAGAATTGAGATCACTGCCTGATTATTTGGCGCCATCTACTAGTCCAAGAAAAATCGTAGCTCGTGTGCTCAAGGATTACTCTATTTACGAGGGTTATCAGGACTATATAAAGGATGAAGTATTGAAACGAGGCACAAGATTTTATTCTTCCTGAGCAAAGATGACAATGTCTAGCCAAAGACATTAAAAAAAGGCGCTTTTTGGGAGGCAACCCAAATATTGATGTTATTATTTTTCATTGTTCATTTTTTTTCGTTTTTTGTTTCTCAGTTGAGTAGTAATCGGTCTTCATATTTTTCTCCACTGTGGTAAGAAGTGCAATTTTGGCGTGACCACGCGGTGTTTGTGTCTCTTGAGATCAGTGGACGTTTACCAATCTTAGCGTGCCCACGCGGTGTTTGACGACCCAAAACCTAAAAAAAAAAAAAAAATTTTAAAAAAATTAAAAATTTCACATTGCGAAAATTCAAAAATTCAAAAAAAAAAAGAAAAAACATTTTTTTTCTTTTTCTTCAAAAATTCAAATTTTGAAAATTTAAGTTCATAAAAAAGAATTTTTTGAAAAAAAAAACATTGAAAAAAAAAACCCAAAAACTATATATATATATATATATATATTTTTTTTTTCCCCTTTTCTTTTTCTTTCTTCCTTTCTTTTCTTTCTTTCCTTTCCTTTTCTTCTTCTTCTCCGCTGTTCCCCTGTTTTCCACTTGTCCTTCTCTTCTTTCGTTTTGTCCGCCGCCGCCAACCTCGTGTTCACCAGCTCCACCTCCGCCTCGATAGCACCGCGCGCCGCCTGAAGCTCGCCGCAGTTGCTGCTCGTCTCCTCGCGCGACACGAGCTGCGTGCACCGCCGCCCCAGCTCACTTTTCTCCTTCCCTCTCTCCACTTTACCCACAGCCCACGGCCGTGCCTGCCTCCCTACTGCGCGCCTCCACCTCAGCTCGTCCGCCACCAGATCGTGCGACCATCACCAGCTCTCGGCCAGGTCGCACGCCACCAGCGCGCGAGCTCGCGCTCTACCAGCCGCGCACGCCGCCGCCCCTGTTCTCCCTTCGCGACGCCACCAGCAGCCGCGGAGCTACCCGCCGTTCCCCTCACTCTCCCTTTCGAGCTCGCGCTCTACCAGCCGCCGCTGCTCACGCCACCCACAGCCACGCCCTTCCCACCTGTCAAAATTGACAGGTGGAGGTATTGAATCTTCAACCTCGATTAGTATTTTTCTGGTTCTTCTATTGCTGGAATTTGAGTTTTTGTGTTTGGGTTTCTTGATGGATAAAAGAAGGTGTTGATTTGGGCATTTTCTAGGGTAAATTTTGGACAGATTTGAGTTTAATTGCTGCCATATGTGGGGATATTTTCTGATATTTATTGAATTGTTGGCCGTTTGATTTAATTCCTCCCTGTGTATACACCAGTGGTACTGGTTGTGGTGTTACTTTACAATTCTTAAATTTTCTCGAATTCTAATCGGTGGTTGCTGGAATTGCCTGTTTGCTGGGATTCTTAAAATTCTTAAGGTTTGGTCGCTTGAAGTGGGTAATTGAATGTCCAATTGGTGACATTTGTTGCGTTTCACTTGCTCCAATTGGTTGAATTCTTTGCTCTGTTGGGGTCCCTGTTGGTATCACTTGAGTTCTGCTTTGTTAGTTTCTGTATCGTGCCCCTTGATCTTATTTTGACTGAATTGGAGACCCAGTGCATATTCATTCAATTTGCTATGTTGCTAGGGTACTTTTCTAGCCTTTGGGGTGCCTCGGTTGTGCATTTTATTAAATTGGGTTGGCCATGTGGTTCCCTTCTTTCCTGTGCATGCACCAGTGGTACCGGTTGTGCTAATTTGCTTGCCATTTCTTATATCGATATGATTGAGCATCTGTGACTGAGTACCCTTCGATCTTGCTGCTTTGTTGGGATCGTTTGTGGTGTCAATTGAGTATCATTTGGTACTTTCTGCCTGGAGTCTATTGAGCTGCCTTTGGTTGGGGTTTATTGCATTTAATTGGTGCATTGGACGGCTCTTGTGCCATTTCCGTTGCTTATTGCAGTAGGTTGCCTCTATTTGCCTTGTGTGGGAGTATTTTGTCCTTTTCAGTTCAATTGCTAAGCTCATTGGAGCACTTGCAGTGATTTTGAGTTGCATTATTTCTGCATTAATCTTAAATTGTTCAATTCCTACGTCCATTGGCGAGTTAAAGAACTTTCATGGAATTGGAGTCTTAAGTGTTTGACGATCGATGTAATTTCACTTTGACGATCGATGTAATTTCATCAGCTGAATGCTCAGGAAGTAACACGGATATGTTTTAATAGAAATTATTATGATCTACTGGATACTATATAACCTGTATCCCAAGATTCCCCACTTTCCTTTCTGCAAAATCTATAGATATTTGGGAGAATGAATCTTCTTCCTCTTCGCAACTGCAGCAACTTAATCTATCCAATCACCAGTCTTTCTTCTCTTTACCTTCCATTCTTTGCCTCCTATAGTACAAAAGAGTTTCATACACAACAAGAGCTAGAGAAACAAGCTGAAGAACAGCAGAGAGAAGACGGGCAACGACTGAAGCAAGAAGCTTCACTTGTGTCCCCAGCCAGAATTCAGAAGCTAATAGCTTCCCAGTCAGACCCTCTTCTTGCTAAAGAAATCTTCGACTTAGCTTCTCGTCAGCCCAATTTTCATCACTCGTACGCGGCATGGCATGTCCTCATCCTCAAACTCGGCCGCTCTGGCCACTTCTCTCTCATGCAGTCCCTTCTCTCCTCCTTCAAATCTCAGAATTATTCCATTTCTCCTTCTCTCTTCTCCCAAATTATCAAAATTTATGGTGATGCTGGGCTGCCTGACGAAGCCCTGAAAGCATTTTACTTGATTCTCAAGTTTAATATCAAGCCTCTTCCCAAACACCTCAATCGCATTCTTGAAATTCTTGTCACTCGCCGTAACTTCCTCAGCCCTGCTTTGGACCTGTTTAAATCTGCTCAGAGATACGGGGTCTCTCCAGATACCAAGTCTTACAACATTTTGATGCGTGCTTTTTGCCTGAATGATGACTTGAGTGTTGCATATTCCCTGTTCAATCAAATGTCCAAAAGAGATGTTGTTCCTGATGTAGAGTCATATAGGATTTTGATTCAGGGGTTCTGTAGGAAGAGTCAGGTTAATAAGGCTGTTGAATTATTGGAAGATATGTTGAACAAAGGATTTGTTCCTGATGCTCTAAGCTATTCTACTCTTTTGAATCGTTTGTGCAGGAAACAGATGCTCAAGGAGGCTTATAAGCTTCTATGCAGAATGAAAATTAAGGGATGCGATCCTGATCTTGTTCATTACAATACTATTGTTTTGGGGTTTTGTAGGGAAGGCCGTGCTTTTGATGCTTGTAAGGTTCTTGAAGATATGCGATCCAATGGGTGCTTGCCAAATTTGGTGTCTTACCGAACATTAGTTGGGGGTTTATGCAGTCAGGGCTTGTATGATGAGGCCAAATCATATATGGGGGAGATGTTTTTGCAGGGATTTTCTCCACATTACTCAATAGTACATTTGTTAGTTAAGGGATTTTGTAATATAGGCAAGTTTGAGGAAGCTTGTGCAGTTTTGGAGGAGGTATTGAGGCATGGGGTAGCTCCACATATAGACACTTGGATGGAAATGTTACCTAGAATTGCTGAGGTGGATGACCCTCAAAGTATGGGCAATACCTTGAATCAAGTTTTGAAGATGGAGATAAAACCTGACACAAGACTTGTCGATGCTGGTGCTGCTCTGGGTGAATACCTGGTTAAGAAAATAGGACATCGATCAACCAAGATATGATCTTCTTCTTCAGAATCAATGGATTGATCAAAATGTGTCAACTGAACATGAGGAAAGCTGCAGTTTTTCGTCACGGATGAGTACCTATTACAACTCAGCGCTGTCATTTTGTTATCTGAGTGTACCATGATAACTACAATTTGTGGTTGGTGGGCTATTGCTTTTTCCCAATGTGCCCATTATGATCTAATGGAGGGTGGTATTTCCACGACCAGAAGCCTAGGAGCCTCAGTGCTGCAATTGCCGTTGACAGACATGCTAGTACATCATCAGTTGTTGCGATTGCAGGATTTCGCAGATATTGGAAGAGATTAAGCAACTGCCTCTGGAATTGTTGTTCAAGGAATGTGATGCTTCATTACCAGCAAAGCCTAATAGCACAACTGCTTACGTCTGTTATAGGGAGCGATAGCAGCTGCTACATGGGAATGCTTCTTTCCAAATAGCCTGCTATGAGCTTAGTTCTGTCAAATAAATTCAACGTATCTTGAGTGCATGGCCATTTTCATGACCTGCATGGAATCTATTTTGGTGTCCAACAAAGAAGAGGACTAAGAACTATGGGTGGTCAAAACCCAGGAAAAAGGAAGCAGAGCAAAGGTCGGAAGGGCGCACTACTTGATGAACACTTTTTGGCTTCCCATCTTGCATTTTTCCTTCGAGATTAATTTTGATTTGCCTTTTGTTTCCTTTTTAAGACGATACGGACCCTTATCATGAGGACACCAAGACTATAATATGATCTTGGTAATTTTACTTCAGAACTACTTTCCTTCACCTAGAATTTATATGGATGATTTAGCTTTGCCAATATCAGATAGTAGGTCAATTTTAATCTGTCTATGCTGGTATACATCTTTAATACAATTTAGCTTGTAATATTGTGATGTAAGAAAGGCACCCTACAGGTTTACCATTAAACTACGAAACTTCTACAAAATATGGTGTCAGAACTGCAACTTTAAGCGCATCAAAGTATAATTCTTAAATAGCACGACTTCTATATAGTCAAAACTAAACCTTTTCACCAGAAATGGTGAAGAAATGGTGAAGCAGAAGCCATAGATTAGTTCATCTCCTATTGTTTCAACAGCTAGGATTTGCAAGAGCATCCGTAGCCCATTTTGCTTCTTGAAATTACAAACTGATTATGAAGGCCCTTGCTTCTTGAAATTACAAACTGATTATGAAGGCCCTTGAAAGGGTGACAATCCATTGAAGAGAACTAATCCTCCAATGCCAGCTAAACTAGGCATCCTATGTCACATACTGCTTTCAAATTATGCTGGTCCGTGAATAATAATAGGTGACTTTTTAAGTGCTACCGTTTCAGCCTCTGCCACTCAATTCAGCATAGTGTGATTTAAGACCACCTAACTTTGGCTTCTCGAGGCAGGGTCAATAACTCATTCAACTTCTTAGGTAAGGGATTGGCATGCGCAGCAAATCCTATGATCTTTCACTTATTATAAAGCCACAACCATGTTATCTGTCAGACTGCTCTCACATCAGGAATCAGGATTAGTACTTGATCCCTCTTAATCATTTCAAGATCCATGTAGTAATTCAGCCAAGCAATCAGTCAAAGATCAAGCCTCAGAAAGCAAGGAACAAATCTTAGATTTCCCAAGGATCCAGGGTTCTGCCAAAAATCCCGACAACAACCTGCTGATTAGCCACATGCCAGTGTGTATTGAGAGCTTATTTCCCTCTCAACCTCATGCTCTTCCGCTTCTGATTCAGTGCAAAACGTCGTGCCATAGCAGGGTTGTAGAATTTCCTCATATACTCTGATAGCCTGTGAATAGCTTGAAGATCACCAACCGCAGAGAGCTTCTTGAGAAAAGAATCAAATGTTCTGAATGGCAATTTCATTCCCCTTTTTACAACTTCTTCCAAAAGAAAGCATGCATCTTGCATGTTGTTAGAATCAAAAAGTCCTTCAATCATCACACAGTATGAATCAATGTCACGCTTACAACCCCTTTGATCCATCTCATGCCAAGTCTCAAAGGCTCCATCAATGTCACCCATCCGGAAAAACATTAAAATTAGCATATTAAAAGTCTGTACACTGGGAACACAACCCACGTTGATCATATTTTCATAAAGCCTAATTGCTTCTTTACTATCTTTATTGTCACAAAGAACCTTAAGAAAACAATTGTAAGTGACAATATCTGGAGGAAAACCCCCATTTCCCATTTCTTCCAGAAATTTATAAGCTGCCTCAATCTTTCCTCCCAAAAACATGCCTTCAATGACTTCCTTGTACGTGGAGACATCTGGAAGGCATCCACTGTCTATCATTTCCCTAACAACTTTAAAGCATTCCTCCATTCTATCGCTCTGGATAAGGGCCACAATGAGGATCGAGTAAGTTTTTGCAGTGGGAGAAGACATAGTTGTACCTTTTGTTCTCATGAATTCCAAAAGTTCAGTAGCCTCTGTCAGCATCCCTGCTCTGCAAAATGTATCCATGGCTGCAATATACGTAAAGCTATCAGGAGTATGCCCCATTTTAATCATTTCATCAAGTATGTTCATTCCCCTACTAGGATTTCTGACCCTGCACCATCCGAAGAACAAAGTGTTATATGTGTCAGCATTAGGTTTGATTTTACTTTTCACCCTCCTAAACATGGCTTCAGCATCCTCAACAAGACTACACTTACACAAAGCATCCAAAAGCAAATTAAAAGCGTTGATTTCCGGCTGTGTCTTCACTCTAATCTTTTTCTTCCTAGCAAATTTCTGAAGATGGGTCAAATATTTCTCAGTGTATTGCCTCAACATATTCAACAACACTTCAACAGGAACTGAATTCTTGTTGTTCCTCTTCATGTACTCTAGCATATCACAAACAATTCGAAACTGTTTGACCTTATATTTTGTACTTGATAATATATCCATCATCTCATTATATGCCTGAGGCTCGTGACTATAATGCTCCTGATGCCCGGCCCATGTAAAGAACCTAAAGGCTGTCTTCTCCTCATAACGAAGCCTATGCAACACCTCTACAACCATTGGAGTTGTCAGTTTGACACATGCTCTATCAAGAGCTTCCTCCATTTTAAACTCTGGTTTTGAATAATCTACCACTATTTTGTGCAACTTATCAGCAAAATTACCATCATCATCATTCATTTCTGTCACGGCAACATTTTCCAAAGTACAGAGCTGCCTAAACTGTCCTCCGAGAAGAATAGACAACTTCACATACGCTGAGAAATGATCAACAAAATCGGATCCCCCGCTGGAACAGATAAATGGGCTAGAAAGTGAAGCATGATGAACTGGAAAAAAGGGTGATACAGAAACTCTTTTATACCCGCGAAAAGAGATGAATTCAGAAAACAAATAGGGACAACGGATGAAGGGTTGTGATGAGCATACATCTTTGAAGCATCTATGACTTCTACATGATGTTAATGAAGTAGTTAACAGTTTTCGCCACATTGGAGAAAAATAACAAGGAACGTGACTAAAAGTTCTTGATACAGGTAAAAAGTTTCAACATGTACCATATAAATGGAGAACAAGGGAAGAGTCAAGGTAGAATAGACCAGTATTTGTCACTGAGACAAATTATCAAACAACTAGTAAGCTATTCTAACATCACACCTGAAGATACTCTTGGCAGGGTATATCTTGCAACCTCGGAGTAAATTGGAGTGTTCCAGAGTGTTGGGAAAGTGGGAAAGGGTCCAAGAATGATATCCGAGTCCGGACTGCCCTGTTCGCGGTCTAGGAGCTCAACAAAGAGGAGACGACGGAGGCTAATTGCTCAAGAGAAAGTCTTCAAAATTGCTATACATCAAGGGTACTTATGACTACTGGCTGAACTCTAAGGGTACTCGTGAAATTTCACCTAATAGTCGGGCTCTATGTGACAATTGCCAAAGCAAAATAAAAATAAAAATAAAACTGCAGGCAAAATAAATACTGGAGCAGTGATGGAGAGAAGCAGCGGCTATTGGAGCCTGGAGGAAAGCTATGGAGGCTGAGGAAAACGAACCCACAAGCCAAAGAACAAAAAGGGTCAGAAGGCAAGAGGTAAAACTTCCAACTTTTAATCCAAGAAAGAGCCCACAAAAGAAAGTTATGCATACTAATTGTGGGTTTTGTTCTTGACTGGGATTTATGAAGGCAGATATTGGAAAAAAAGAAGGCTGCGGATGACATAATCAGAGCTGCTTCTTCACAAAAGGATCATCTTTCTTCGTTTCCCCAGTATCGCCATTATCGCACAAATGGTTGGTTAGTTTTTTTTTTCCCCTGTTTATGCAAAGATTCCTTTTTTAATCTTCAATGTAGATTCTTCGAAAAATTCATCATATTTTCTAACAAATTCTATCTTTCAGCATTGAAATTGAGTACACATTGATGATCATTTGAATCTCTTTTCATAGCAGAAGCTTTATTTGGTTGTCCCTTTTGTTTCATTCTCTTGGCAAGTAGGTGATGACAATGCAATAATTGTTTCTGGTTCATTGTCTTAGCTAGTTTTTCTACTTCTTTTTCCCCCCTTTTTATAGATCAATATTATATGAAATTCAATATTTTGGTACTTAGGACTGTCTGTGTACTTGGGGTCTGGACTTGGGGATAAGCTCTCATTCCATCTGAAGCAGTACATACAGAAACTTCTCAAGGTAAATGAAGGGACGACGCTCTAACTAGTTCATTCTCAAAGAGAATGAAGGAAAGATGGAATCTTGTTCTGTTTCCTCTTCATTTTTTAGATCTTATCTTGCAGGTAAACATGGAGGGACCATATGGATCAGAGTGGCCGACGGAAGAGAAAGTGAAGCGGAAGGAAATGGTTGCTCCAGAAGCACGTTATATATTTGTATATGAGGATACAAATGTAGATGGTAGTCAAATTTCTTCCATGCCAGAGAATGAGAAGAGTTCAAGTCATACAGATGCAATTGTTGGATTTGTACATTACCGATTTATTATGGAGGAAGAAGTACCAGTTCTTTATGTGTATGAATTACAGCTCGAAAGTCGTGTTCAGGGAAAGGGACTTGGGAAGTTTTTGATGGATCTAGTTGAGCGAATTGCCATCAAGGTACTTTATGTCCCTTTTCTAACCTTTTCTGTATTCTCAAAGCATTTCAAATCTTCATAGCATACAAATTCTGCAAATTTTAAAATAGAAAAGGTCCTGCTGAAAATGAAGTCAAGCATAACTTTGTATGCCTCAGGAAAAAAATATAAAATCAAAAATAGGAAAAGAACTTAGCTGTTTCACACATATGACAAGATATTCTGGCTGTGAGTGTAACTTATTATAGTGTTTAAAGTTGTTTATACTTGCTGTTAGTGTCTAACTCATGATCTGGGTTTTGCAGAACAGAGTGGGTGCTGTGATGCTTACTGTACAAAAGAAAAACTTATTAGCAATGAACTTTTATATGGCTAAACTTGGGTAAGCTTGAATGCCCTTTTCCAGTTTTGTTCTCATCTTGCATTTCCAAGGAGGCAAGCTTGATACCGATTAATCTGCTACTCGTATATTTAAGAAAAGAATCAGTGGAAGGCTTTCTCTCATGACATTTTGCTTATGTAGAACATGTAATCAGGCTACGGGCAATGGAAAGAACAAATTGAAGCTTAATTCATGTTTTCACGTGCATGAAAATGTTTGAATTGGCAGAATAGCCACTCCTGGGACTGTTGGAAAACTTTTATTTGTTTATTTATTTTTGTTTCTATTCCTGTTGGAAGATTTTTATTAGCTACAGCTGGCATTTTGTGTTTCCTTTGCTCTTTAAAACTACTTTGTAACCACATAAACTTTGTTAACTTGAAGAACCTTTGTATTGTGGAAGGTGTTTTCGATCTTCACCTGCCCTGTAGTTCATTTTTGGTGCATGAATTTTGCGGTTTTCATTGACATTTCTATAATTCTTATGAAAAAAATCACCACCTTCCAACTTTAACAACATAACTCTTGAGGAGCTAAGTTAGTCTTTTATTCTTCTCAACTCTTATAACTTCTTTTAGATAAGTGGAACAATGTAAACGCAAGCATTTGTAACTAGAAAAATCTAAAGGAAACTAGCATATCGTTCTTCTCTAAGAAAAAGTACAGTTATCAAAGTTTCTAGCAGCTTTATACTCCTTATTTCTTGGTTTTTCCAATGGTCAAAGGTTATATTCTTTCATATATCTCTTCTTACAGCTAAAGAATTCATTCTTTGGTGTTGGCATGACCAGGTACATTGTGTCTGCTATTTCACCATCGAGAGTCTATCCATTGGTATGTGCTCTTTCAGCTTACCTGCAATCTATTGTTCACTTTACATTCTAATACCCTCCTTTGATGCAGACAGGATTAGAGACAAGTTATGAGATTCTTTGTAAAGCATTTGAAGCTAAATCTGCATTTGAGGTTCGTACTTTCTCCCTAGCCATATGCTGTCTCAAGCAATGCTGTAGAATATAACTTATGGGTTCTGCTTGAGAGATAGTGAAGCATTCTATTCTGAAGCAAGTGTATTTTTGCATTTAAACATGTGAACAAGGGTTAAGGTTGGTGTAGTTAATTCTTCGTCAACTTCTGTTTCCTTGGTGTTTCTGAAAGACCACAAATTCGATTTAGCATATGTTAATGGCATTAGCTTTTGTTTTAATCTCGACACATCTTTCTCTAGGATAGAGATTGCAAGCTTAATTGTGACCCAGTTGCACTTAAATCATGGTTGAACATTGAATTATCTCAATTTAAGCCCGCTGTCCACTTGTAACCAATTTTTGTTCGTTCCATGAAGGAGAGCCAATGACTAGAGTGACAGCTTGACTGGAATTCCTTCAAGTTGCCTTGTTCTTTGTATCAAAGTTTCAACCTCATTCCTGATGGAAGATGAGAGGTTTGTCTAGAGGAAGCATGAAAAGTGCAATCTTCAGACAAGGAATTTATATCTCTTATAGGTCCATTTTAGTTTCTGCGTTTAGCAAAAGTGTATCATAATGTTATCAGAATTAGCTTTTGTGTATCTTAGGGACATTTCAATGTTGTCCTCCTAGGTAATTTAAGGTTTTTGGCTCTGGATTAAACTTGAGACTGCATTATTCTATTACTGAGGGATCAGAAGATGAAAAAGCTATTGGAAAAGCATTGTTACAGCTCATTCTCATTTCTCCCGGAATCTTGACTTCTAGTAATAAGCAATTTGGATGCATTTGTTTGATGACCACCAGTCCTGCTAACCGCACAAGGGCTGGAAATCTCCTTTGTTAAATCTTCCCATTTTAGTTAACTTCACAATTTTATGCTCAAATTTCTAGAGCATGTTGCAGTCTTTGGTGAAAACAAAACTCGGTTTTACCTTCTACCATTCAACCAGCAAGATTCTAGGTGGGCTTAGTTAGATTTATTAAGAAATTGGATGAGATATGCAACAAGGAACTGATCAATGTGTATCTGAAGTTTAACAATTAAATTGATTCTTTAAAGAGTTTATGTATGATACAATCTTTTTTTTAAGAACATGGTGACATTTTCAGCGTCTTTCACTGATAGTTACATCATCTCGCCATCTTTCAAATGCAAATTGTACAATTCGATATCATCAAGAGGGATATTCGTTGTCTTGTACCATTTTTGTGCTCTAATATATAATGTATCACTATTTCCAACTATAGACAAGCTTAAATACAATAGCAAATTGACACAAAAACTTTTACGAGGTGCTTCATCATACATAATTACATAGTGCTTTTTTGGCAAAAAAAAAGAACATTATTGGTCCGGGTAAATGTAAATATGTGCTCGTGCTAACCGCAAATGTTACCTATGGGTTAGACAATCCAACGAGGAACCCCTGGTTCAGAAATACAAGATACTGGCGTGCGAAACTCTACAGGAATCTTGCCCAGACAACCCCAAGGCAATAGATATAAGAGCCATTTTGCCAAAAGAAAAACCAGGAATGCCAAATGCATGCGCAGACCATGGCAAGTTGCTGCAGTGCAGAACATAACAACAGAAGCCACAGTTATAAGATAAGAATCTACAGAAACTGAAAATTCCCAAGAAGAAACAGACATTTTTCTACATCCTTTTCAGCAGAGTGTTATACGATGTATGCTACAAATGGAAGCAGGTTTTTGAAGAATTCTTCCAAAACCCGATGGCCAGGCAAAGCAGATACATGGGTTTTCATCTGCCCAACACAAATCAATTTTCTCAGCCTTGAACTCTTCCCAAGGCAAAGCAAGTAATTAATGTCGAGCAATACTTGCAATATCACTACAGGGATTTTGGGACAAGTGAAAATCATAATTCACATGTCAAATTCAGATATCCTGACCTAAAGATGCAATTTTATTAAGGTTTTATTCGCCTGCTTCACGGCACATCATCAATGAGCAAAGTTCCAAGAATGCTCATTGGTCAGGTGCTAGAACTCCACCTCAACCTACATCTTTGGTTCAACCATTCAATTATTTCCTCCACAATTTCTTGTCTTTCAGGTTCAAAGAGCAGATCATGTAAAAGCCCTTCTATAAGCCTGATAGTTTTGTCATTTGAGGAGGCCTCCTCATAAAGTTTCCGAGATGCTGCTGGATCAGTGACTCCATCAGCACTGCCATGAAGAACTAAAAATGGCACTGTCAACTTCTTCAAGTTCTGTTGTAGATAGGCCGTAATCCGTAATATTTCATAGCCAGTTCTTACCCTGATAGATCCTGTAAACACTAGAGGATCGGAGTACTTGGCAACTAATGCCTCTGGATCTCTAGAAACTACAGTACCCGTTTTATTTGCTGCACTGAACTGATATCTTGGCAATAAGAAGGAAAAAATAGGAGCAAGTACCTATTATAATGAAAATAGGTCAAGTCACCTTATACCAATTGATGGCGATAAATACATTTTAAATTGATGAATAGTTCCTAAAGCAAATAATCTGTAGCATATAATTCTGCATGCGTAAATGGTTGAAATTAGGAAGAAAATGTCTATCAACAGAGAAATGGTCCTTACTGCAAAAATTGGATGGGAAGGTTGAACTCCAACAGCAGGTGAAGTGACAACTACTCCTGCAATGTGAGCTTTAACCTCTGGATCCAGTACTGCCTAAAGTTGATGAAAACAAGAATCATTAAAAATGAGAGGTACACATAAGAGTGTTTTACAACGAAGGTGCCATTCTAACATCACCTTAAGAACAATGGCTGCACCAGTCGAGTGTCCAAAGCAAAAGCATGGAAGACCTGGATTTTCGGCTAGAACCTTCCTAATAAATGATTTCTGAATGAAATAGAATGAAGATCAGTCAATATAAATGTGCAAACATCATAGAAAAATAGACTTCAATCCCTATATTGTGAATAATGTTCAAAGCATACCATATCATGAACAGCATCACTAAGCGAATGAACATAAGCATGAAGTCCATCACTTCCACCATGTCCTACAGTAAACATAAAGATATAATCAAATGGAAAAACCTACTTCTCGTTCTAAACAGAAAACAGAAAACCGCATGGCAAATTTTTGGGTATAGCATTTCAGGAGTCCTGGCATTAATAGGCTAAACTCTATCATATGACGTCCCTATCAGACAGAAAGTGAAACACAAAAGGAAAATTTAACAGCATCCTAAATGTTATAGCGCAAGTAAAAGAACACACACAGCACAATCACAGAGAGAGAGAGAGAGAGAGAGAGAGAGAGAGATTATAAAAGTTGCAAGTCAAAAACTTCTAAAATGAGGGTTCGCACTTGATGGAAATGTGCTAACAAACTTTTCCACCGATATCACTTGGCTTCAAGAATTATGAGTGTCAGTCCTATGAAATCAACAGATCTGAAAAATCATACTATGCCACTTAAGAACATAGACAAAAAGAAAATTACATCTGCTACTGAAAATTGATGAATGACCATCAGTCTTTGAACTTAATATCTAATTCAGCTAGCAGTTAATAAAACCCATGTTTATGCACCAAAATGATGTTCCTTTCCAATATTGAGACTTACCACTAAATAATTACTTTCACAAAGCACTACATTGGACATGATTCTTCATTGGAAGTGGGAATTCTAAGCAACCGATCACATATGAATACATACATAGATGCATGCATGGATGCATACATGATTGGTTGCTTAGAATTCTCACTTCCAATGAAGAAACATGTCCGATGTAGTGCTTCATGTCCATCCATGCATGAATTATGAGTTGCTATATATCCTGTCAATTATATTTCTCTTCTTCGCTTTAGAAGAGGGGTATCAAACTGATCGATTCAGTATAAAATTTTAGTATTCAAAAATGAGTTCCAAGAAAACATGCTTCCTCCTTTAGCATTCTTCTATGTGTTAGGGCAGATGCAAGACTCAAATAATTAGCTTACTTATGAAGAGGAGCTTCACATGGTACTTTTTTGCACCAATGGCATCCGCATTGAAAAATTTTCAATCCCTGCATCACCCAAATATACATGTGTAGTTGAAATCCGTCAACTCTAGACTATAAAAAGAGAGGTCCAGCAGACGAATATAAAAACACTCTTTTTTTTGTTCTTTTTCCTTTCTGCAAAGAAAAGAAAAGGAAAAAAAAAAAAGAAAATAGATTTTGAAATGAAATTGACCCGGGCCTGGCACCAGATATCCAACTTTTCATGGAAATCATAGGGTATATGGTATTGGTGTTTACTGCCATAACTCTTTAGAGTCACTCTCTCTATATCAGGTCCAACTTTTCATGGGAATCATGGGGTAGGGTACCAGTGTGTAACCCCATGTACTTTTTAAGCTCTCTCTCTCCCTCTCCACTTTGTATAAAAGCAGAATTAGCTAACATGATGGAACAGATATTGCTCACACTGACCAATTGCAATTTTAAGCCCATTTGCAGCACAAGGGATGCCATAGCTATAGCATCTCTGATCCCATCCCTGCACTTCCAACAGAGCCCCTTTCGACCATCTGAAGCATAATTTATTTATTTTTCCTGAATAGTATCTCTATCTACCCTCTGAACTTTATGCCATGAACATCTCTCGGACTGTACATCATTTTTTATAAGCACTTTCACCTTCTTAAAATTGGCCAAATCAATAATGACAATGTTCAAGATTAGCGATTTAAACCATCATTGTTAGTACGCATTCAGATGTTGATTTTGTCTCCAAAACAAAGGTGCCCAGACTGCTAGGGCATTCTTACTCTCCGAAGTACTTCTCACTTTTCATGCCAACCTGAGAAGTCAAGACTCATTTTGTTTATGTCCAACAATCAGGTGAACTTCTCTAGACTGGCAACTGAAGTTAACATCATCTGACTGAGTACAATCTACATTTAGGGCACATTCCAATCATAATACTTCATGAACTTGCTTACCATAGTAGTGCAGAATACTTTGAGCAATACTTTCATTTGCTAAATAATAGTGTTAAAAAAATGTTTTGTGAGCTAGTAGTTCAGAATACTTTTACTTGCTAAATAATAGTGTTGAGAAAAATGTGATTTCAAAAACAAAATAACACCAGAAAATATTGAATTTCAAAAACAATAAGTAATAGATAGCATATAGTAAATAAAACCAAATATATCCTTTTAGAGATTTTAGGTTGAAGTAGTTTTTAGCAAATTGCAGAATAGAACTTTAGAACTTTAATAGCAATTTCATTAGAATTAAATTGCTCCCAAAAACCCACTTATCCTAAAAGAATAAAACTTAACTTCGAATATGGTCTACAACAAGCAGTTAAAATTTTTTTACCTATCCAATCCATTGCATAGACCTTGTAACCATTTGCATTCAGCTGCTGAGCAAAATCAGTGTATCTGCCACTGAAAAGCACCATATTCACTTTAGAAATGAATGACATCAACACGAAAGAAATTTGCATCTAAATAAAAAAATTTGCTAACAAACCTGTGTTCGTTCAAGCCATGTAGGAGAGCAACCAACCCTCTGCAAAAGACAGACCACGCATTGTCATTTTATATAAAACATATCTCAAAACAATTCACTGAGAATAGCAGAAAATATTAAAAAATTCAGGGTTCAAAAAATTACAATAGCAGAAAAAATTTTCACTGAGAATCCTTAGGAAATAAATTAACTATAACTATGTCCGATAAATGAACTTGCCAGTGTAAATTCAGAAAAATTGAAGC